AGAAATCACAAACGCAGGTTAGTTCTTTAGCGTAAGAAACACGAATTTGCCTGTATGAGCGTGCTGGAGTTAAACAGAGTTCTAATATGAAAAAAAGGCAAAAGGAACCCAGGCGTTCTTGAGCCTTAACAATGCTAAGGTCAGAGTGCAGCTCTTTCATGATCTCCGATTGGTCTTCAATGGGCTTCTCCGTTACACTGGCCTTCCATTTTCTGAAACCAAACTGAAGAAATAAAGGGGTATTATTGTTAAAAAGAAAAACACCTGCAGCTTTGAGTGCGTGTATTACACTCACAGGTTCATAATCAGGGGTGTGGACTCAAAAAGAAAAAGCTTTAGCGTCATTCTGGAGATATTCCGAGTTTTTGTTTTACATGTAGCCATTTTTAAACACAGCTTTACCACAGTTTAGAAATAATGTGAAGGACCAGTTTTGACGGGACTAGAAATGAGTATATCAGAGGGACAGCTCAGGTTGATTGGTTTGGTGACAACGTTAGAGGCAATCTGCACATGTGCCGGGAAGTGGACAGAGTATGTTAAATATGGAGCTGCCATGCAGGGGAAAAAAAAGAAAAAAAAAGAGGATGACCACATACAAAGCTCATGAATTTGGTGAAAGACATGTAGAGGGTTGGTGTGACAGAGGTGACTACAAGAAGCAAGAAGCAGAAGAAGAAAGAAAAGACAAAGAAGTGAATCTGAAAAAAGTACATAAATGCTTACAGCTTTATCGTAATAAGCAACCACTAATGTCAGGCACATCATGCTAACACTGAACATATATTTGCTATTCTTGTGAGAACATTCCTACCAGCGTAAAAATTAGCCCACTAATCCTCAATCATAAAGTAAAAACATCTCCTGTAAGGAAAAACTAGCAGACCGTAAATTGCTGTTAACATCTGTATTAAGTGGAGTACGTTTTTTTGTGCAACACAGTAACAGAAGAAATGCCAGGACAACAGAAGAGCTGTTTCAGGCGGTTTAGCAGCGTTTTCCATCCGAGTGAGTAAAACCCCCTTAAGCCTGCATGGATAACAGACTACAGGAGAAGAAAAAGCCCCAAAACACAACCCCATGTTTTTCTGCGTCACTTCTGATACCTCAAACGGCTATCACAGAACCACTAAAGTTTATGGTTACTAGAAATGAAAGATTCTGTGTGATTACATTTCTAAATTCTTGCCCTAGACTCATATTAAATTTACTGCGAAAGCTGTGCATCCTTTTCACATGTGTATTTTAAAATGCTTCAAGTCCCTTTTCTTTCCTTTATGAATAAAAAGTGAGAAATTAGGTGCCGTAGTATGTAGTAAGTGTTTAGCACGTAACCACCGCCCTGATCGAGTGGTTTCCTACCTTGTAGTTGTTGGCCTCCCTGTGTGCCTCCACCTCATTGTCAACTCTGATTGTAGTCCTTGTGGTGCATTCATGCCATCCCTCTTCTCCATTGCGTGGTGGAGAAGACCGGGCTGAGGTGACATGCCCCCCTGTGCAGATTAAAAAAACAAAAACAAAACAACTTTTCTACCCTGTTCTAATTTAAACCTCTCTATATTTTAACATTTCACATGTCCATATACACAGAATCTTATAATGCTTTAGCCATGTTGGGAAAGGTAGTCTTGATCATCCAGAACCAGCCAACTAGAGTTATTAAATCCAGTCAGGTATCTGCTACTTTATTCTAGTTTCAGCTAATGTCATATTCACCTCTATGGACACCAAAAAAACATTTTGGGGTGTAGTGGCAGAAGTGGTGTCCAGAAGCATCTGGGGAGGGTGTATCTGCAGGGCCTGTCTCGAGATGATGGGCCCCAACACAGAGCCTATCAGTTAGGGAGAGTTGCCGTGGATATCGATGCTGTTCTTGATGGACACAGGTCTCTAAATATGGAAACATTATAAAGAGCGTGAAGTATGGTTTTCAGAAGAGAACAGCGTATCAGTTCCATTCATAGTGTGTTAGCTGACCGACATGCTTCCATGAAAATGTGTGTGACAAACACAAACCTCCTGAGAGTCATACAGAGTCCATACAAAACCCAAGCTCTCAATAGCAATCAGTCAAGACTGATTATCAGTGCATTGCAATGCAGCGCTAAGAATCCTGCTGGGCTTTCAAATTAAAAAAGGAATGCATACTGGTTATGGTTCATGAAAAGCAGTTGATTTAATGGTTGGCAGCCAGTGGAAGGCAAAGATTAAAATGAAAAGAAATTACTGCAAGAAGAAAACAGCAGCAAGTATGTGATTTTTTCATTAAATCAAAACAGAAAAAATAGGTTAAACGGAATTAAAGTGAGCAGTTGTTGCCTCTAGGAACGTTACTAAACACCATCCCAAGGAAGCACCATATGACCTACATACATACAATACAACTGTGACCATCAGGCTATCCTCCACAACGCTATCTGTTTAAACATTAAGGTTTAACAACAGCAACAACGTCGTTTTCAATAGAATTATAACCACAAAAATACAAATTGAAATTAACTTTTGTTTTTAACCGAAAGCGACTTTAAAGAGCACGTGGAACGCAAACTTGACAAAATACTCAAAACGTCATTTTTTAAAAGTCTACATGAAAGGATCTGCGCAGGTGTGGAGGAGCACACGCTGAATAGTTTGGTCTCACCTGACGATGAATCAGCCTCGGATATTCTTGGTAAGTTTTCCACATCACCCGGTAAAAGTAAACAGTTTTTGTGGGACATTTTGGGTTGGTTTTTTTTTTGGTATGACACTTTATTCTCCGAGCGTTGCTCCTATCCTGTAATCCTCTGGACTTGACTTCCCTCCCTCTTTATTCTGTGCAGTCCGAGCTGCTATTGGCATTAGCAGTCAACCATTAGGACGAGGTGAAGTGGGCGGTGGGGGAAGCGGACGGGAAACAGCAAGAGTATTATATTTTCTGATATATAAATACAGACAGAGCGCCTAATTTTATTTTATTTTTTCAACTTCACTTTTCTTAATATTATTTTTATACGGATATTATTATGGGTTTTTTTTCTTCTCCAAATCTCATAAAACCAAAACTGTACTTATGTTAGTGCCCCCATTGGATCTATATAATATATTATATATGGTCAGATAATAATAATATATAATATAAGTTATATATTTAATTACTTTTTTATCACTTACCTCACTTTATAATTGTATGTATAAAATTTAAGTTATTTCTTATGGCATTTTTGTAAGGTTACTTTGATTCCTACTAGTGTTTACGTTGATTGTTATGTCCATTTTATTCATAGCCTGCAGTACATTTCAAGAACAGAAGCTGACCCAAAAGGCACATTTCCATTCCAGCTCTTCATTATATATGTGTATATATATATATATATATATTTAAACCTGAAAGGTGTGTTTTGGTTTTGTTGTCTTAGCTAATTATTGTGGAAAGAAAATATCACAGTGATTTAAAAGTCATTCAGGTGTGTTCATCATTTGCAAATAAATTATGATTCATCTCATGAAACACTGTCCTACTCTCCATAAGCTGCCTTTAGGCGTTAAAAGTATCAGGATCGGTATTGGTATAGGGAATGCAGGCCCTGTATTTATTTGGTTTCAGAATGATACCAAAATTTGCAGTATTGCGCATCATTAGTGCAAGCTGCATGCTGCAAATACACGCTGCAGTCAAAAGTACTGGGCCACACTGTGGCGCAGTTTTTCCAGGGGTTGGCCTGGCGACTTTAATATGACTAAAGTTAAATCCTAATTCTTTTCTTAACAGGACATTTTAGACAGTTCTGTACTTCATACATTGTGGGGACATTTGGGTCCTCTTCTGTCCCAGCATGACTGTTCCTCAGTCCATAAAGGCATGGTTGGATGAGTTTGTTGTAGAAGAACTTGACCTCCTTCCTTGCAACCACTTTGGAATGAAGTAGAACAGAGAATGGGCTAAAATTTTACACCTACACACTGCCCAAAAATTTGTAGAAAACCTGGAAGAGTAAAAATTATTGTAGCTGCAAACGTGGAACGATTTGGAATGGGATGTCATAAAAGTTTCTGTCCTCGAGTCGTAGCGGAGATTACAACTGTTGCAAAAGGCAAAACACAAAGAAAAAAAAATGCATATATCTGTTTCACTTTTCACTAAAATTTTATTTACATATAAAAACAAAACAAAAGAAAATACAGCTGCACAGTAAAAGTGACAGTATTCTTATACTCAGTTTGGAGACTAAACACACAAAGCGCCACAGTTAATCTTCAGACAGCTTACAAAAAACCAGAAATTATTACTTTTCAAAAGTAATCCTCATTTCTATTTTCTTTTAAACACAAACTTTTTAGGTGGACATCAGCTTTTTTTTTGTTATTGAATTCATAGTGTGGCAGTGTGGCAACTACTAATAACATAAATAATTCTCATACACTTCTATGTAACAAAATGTATCTGTGTTGACTAAGTAGCGATTTAACACAGTTTACTTCAGCATCATTTATCCACAGTAAGTGTAAACACACGTGACGATAGTAGGTGATCATTTGGTTACAGCACGAGTACAGCGGCAGATTTTTTTCTTTTATAGAGCAGTTGACTCTTCCCTTTTGTTCAACATCATGTAAGCAGAAGAATCGAGTGATTTGTACATTGGAAATATAACAGATTGAGAAATCTATGAGCAGCTAATACAGTACACACAGAAAGAGAGAGAGAGATGGAAAATTCTGCACTTTTTATTTTCAGATCTGAATAAGCTCCTTGTGGAGCATTATCAAATTTTTTTTAACTGAACTGAGGAGGATGCAGTTTTGACTTAATATTTACAACAGAATAAGAGAAAGTAGAAATACAGCTGCAAAAAAATGTAGAGGAAAAGTTGAAATGTACAAGTAAAAGAGAGCCATTCATTTCAGTCCAATGCAGCAAAACTGTAAAGTAAGTTTTCCTCCAATCAAAGCAGAAAGTGTAGAATTATTGCACCAGGCAACAGAGTGTGTACATATAACTACACAGTTACAGTAGCTTATTTAATAAAAGAAAAAAAAAAAGGCTTTACTATTTAAGGCATCAAAAATGAAGTGTAAAAGAAGCTATGAGTTATCGTATGTGGATCTAATTTCATTTTAGTCCCAGTGTGTATTAGAAATTCTTCAGGAAGTGCGAACATTTAGCAATTATTAGTATTTATAGGGTGAGGGGGCGTGTGGGTAATGGTTAGTACCCCAACTGTACATAAGAACAAACAATTAATAGATATATAGTAGCTTGAAGATAGAGCAAAACATTAAAATATAATACAAGAGAAGACTTGCGATAAACAGTATTATGCAGCTTCTGCTGCCCTAGGAGTGATGAAATACTCGTGACATAAGACGTCAATAAAAAATATTAAATATAGCAACAACAATAAAAAGGCATTTTAAAATAGTCTTCTAGAATTGGTGAAATCTTTTTAAAGAAGTCATTCATTGATAATCCCAGGAAAAGTAAACCTGGTTAATTCATCCTTGACTGGCACCGATCGGAGCGTCGGGTCCCACCGTAACACACAGAGCTTGAAGTTGTAACCAGCAGGTTGGAGCTGATGCAGGCGGACGAATGAGTCGGTGCTTCAGGATAAAGACATCTGGGTTTCTGTATTGTTTCAAGCCATGTACGGTTTTAGCTGCCTTATTTGACTTATCATCCTGGAGTTGCTTTTAAAATGTTACTGGACACAAATAAAATATAAAAATAATTTCTTATACACAACACTTTTTATTCTATTTTATCCCTTTGCGTTTTTTTAAGAAAAAAAAAATGACCAGCTTTGTTCCATCTTAACGTCCAGGCATTGGGATTTTACTGCTCTTTAGTAAGAATTTGCGAAAGTATCCAGCACTTTTTTTTTTACCTTGCTATGTACGTACACCTTAAAACAGTCTATTTCAGCTATGATTTTAGAAGTCAGAGTCGGCGTCCATAAGCTCCGCCTCCATTAAATTGGTCCTGGAGTGGATGGGTCCGTAACCAGCCCTCCGGCCTGCTGGTACCCGAGCCACGTGGGCCATTCTTTCTGATATTCCATCAGTGATATCCATATTTCCAGGGTAGCGTGAAGACGCACTAGGCTGCCAATTGGAGGGAGGGTAACGCGGACCAAGACCCAGATCCTCTGGACGATCTCTGAAGGTCAGGGGGTCAGACAGCATGCTGTGGCCATAGCCATTCTGGCTGGTCTGGTACTGCAGGTAGGGACACTTCTCCTCGCATGACAGACGGCGCGAAGGTTGGAAGTCTGGGTAAGACCCAGGCAGAACTTCCTCCTCAATCTTCTGTTGTTGTCTCTGCTGTTCCCGCAGATTGGCAACCAGGCTGGGATGAGGAGGCAGTTTGGGCAGACGGGGCACTGAGCTGCGACCAAACTCACGCTGGCGATAAACCTGGTGGTCCACCATCTCCTCAACCGGACGCACCTCCTTCTTCCTCTTCTTCTTCTTCTTTTTCCTCTTTATCATTTCTGGTGAAATTTCGGCCTCCACCATCCACAGGCGGTTCCTCTCCTCTGGAGGGGGCACTGTGACAAAATAATAGAAAGTAAAGATTACGATTTATTTTTTTTTTAAACCCAAGGTCTAGAACATCTGATCTGAAATTTATATTCAAGGGAGTTGGTGTAAAGCCAGAATCATGGTCTCCGGAGCTCACCTGGTGTACCAGTGGGAGTAACAGAAATGTCCTGTGGGAGGATGGCACCTCGCCTGGCCACCATCTTTGTCACATGCTGTGCCCAAGCTGACGACATGTCATTTGATGGCTCGTTTAGGTCAAAATTGATTCCGGCTATGAAAGAGAAGAAAAAAATTAACCCTAACTAACCATATACTGGTCAATACAATGACATCTCTGCACTCAGATGTATTTATCTGAATTAGCTCAATGATATACTCACCCACTGGTCCTTCGTGGGACACGGTGTGCATGCTGAAGGACAGCTCTTTCTCTGGATCTTTGTGGAGCTCCTTCCTCATCGCGAATGCCTTGGCGATCATCTTGCTTTTCTTTATCCTCTTCGGTTCATTATCGCTACGGCCGATGATCCTGGCAAAGTAGAATGACAGATGGCTACATTAATTTTTCTGACAACAAACATTCAGTCCTGATCCACTGATAGCAAGAGATTGAGACCTAATGTTTTGAAATCCAACAGCTGCCATTTGACCTTAGATAAAATGCTAAAATCATCAATCAAGCTCTGTCATGGAAAAATACAGAGTAAGAAAGCCTTGGCCTCGACTGAAAATGCAAACCCCCCAAAAAATCAACAGTGCAAACTGAAATGCATGCACTGGAGGTACACAACAGGACTAAATGCATGTGCGTGTCTTCATACTTTGAAGTGATGGGGATACAATCCAAACTTTTCAGTTATTTTGGACAAAGAGCAGGCATTTAACACACCGCTATCACTGTACATATTAATATGGACAGGCGTGTAACAATGATTTTAAAAACAGACTGTTGCTAATTTTTTTAAAAAGAACATTAAAAAAGGGCAAATAATCATCCTAACCTACAGTATCTCTTCACTGCTATAGCCATAACACCAGAGACGTGTTTGCAGAAGTTTGTGTTAACTTGCTCACTTGCACCAGGTGCGTTTCCAGATGAGGATGGTGGCTTTGGTCCAGACCCAGGTGCTCATGGCGATACCCGTCCCAAACATGGAAAACAGGTTAATTTTCTCCACCATCAGACTGGGGCGGTTCTTAATGGTGCATTCTGGGATGGGCTTGTTTGTCTGAGAGGCGATTGTCACGTTGGCCTCACACCTGTTGAAAATACGACAGAGATGATTAGTCTGTGTCTCCAACAGTGCCCTCAGTGTGTGCCTCCCACACCTTCTAGCTAGTCATATGACTGAGGTGCATTCAAATGCTGGATCTGGTTAATAAGAAGGTCTTTTACATGTTAGGGTGGGGAGAGAGTGGTTTACATTTTTGAGGCAAAATTCATTCCAGTCCAGCCAGTGTCAACACGGTGGGGAAAGAGGGCTGCATTCACTGCTTCATGCTGAGTGGTTAGATGGCGGTTTGGAGTGTGCATCAGGTTGTGGATATCTGTGTGTGACTGGATGCGGAGGGTGAAACTGAGAAGTGCTGAGGTATAAAGCAGCTTTTGAAGCAAGCAGGTGTAAACTTTAACACCTTAGGACTTGAACTGCTGCAAAACTGTAAGGTAAAACTTCCTTCAGTCCAGACAAGGATTCGAATGACTCCATACTGATCGCTACCACTGACCATTTTAGTTCCACCTAATCAAAACTTTGGTGCATAATGAGTGTATAAATAAAAGATTAATAGCATAAAAACTAATGTTATTTTACCTTTTCTAAAAATTTTAAACAACAACTAAATGTCAATGCAACAGAAATGAACTAATGCATGATATTAACATGCTTTGGTTAATTAGTTCTCACAGGTAGCTGCACATTGGCCTAATCAGCAAGAGATCAGCTGGTTAAATCCTAAAAGGAGAGCCAAAATCTCAGGCCTCGGACTGCTCAGTGTATGATGTCACTGAGAAGGGGTATCCTTAATATGGTCACCCCGATCACCTTCCATTCAACCATCTGTTTACAAGGGGTAGCCAATGAAAAGAAAGTTGCCTTAAAGGGAGAGGAGCAGGTCTCCATGAGGGTCTGCAAACATTAAATACTGTGAGTGGAGCCAATATTAGTGGACCAATATTAGCTATTTGCCAATATATTGGGACTGGGATTTTTAATGGCCGATACATTTTTTGTGGTATAAAACATATGGAAGAAACCGCCTTTAAGCATGTAACAAGTGTTGCTTAGTTTGTCCACCAGAGGGAACTCTGCAACCTCCCTATTGACAACACATTTTCGGGAAGAACACAGCACAATAACCAGCTGATCCAAGTAGACTCAGGCAGGGTGTAAACAAGTAATCAACGACTGGTAACGATAAAGGAAGAGTACTTTTAAACTGCATTATCATATTATGTTAGGACTCATAAATAACAACAAATAACAAATATTGGGGGAAACTATTTATGTGTTTTGTGTTTGAAAGAAAAAAAAAATCAGCCAATATATGGAATGTTTAAATCACCAAATATTGGTCTTAAAAATCGGTCAGGCTATAGTGACAATTAATCCAAAGGTACTCTAATAGATTCCAATTATAAATATATGGAGATAGAAATTAGCATAATAGGTTTACTTTAAATTAATGTGACATATTTGGAAAAATTCAGGTATTTATTTATTTATTTTTTGGGAGATATGCATCCTGGGCCTGGCATTGTGGTCCCTCTAAGGTGGAAAGGGTAATATGCTGTGCAATAGCAGTGGTGACTTTGTTAGTGTGAGCAGTAAAAACACATAAAATTATATATTTTCCGTCTAAAAGAAAACACAACTTACAGCACATAATCCCTGAAGCTTCTTTCCCACTCAGCTTGGTTGAAGAAGTCATAAAAGTGGCAGCCAAAGGTTATAAAGACAAAACCAAAGGCAAGGAATCCAAATATTCCTGTATCGTAAAGAAGGACAACAAATTATATGTAAGGTATTAGACGCTTTGCTCCTTGTATACATCATACAGAATAAGAAACCTTAATGCATTATTACATCGGCGTAACATTGTGCTGAACATGCAACTATTTTTCTGGTAATAACTGAAATGAGTAAAGAAAATCAACAGCCTATTTGTGCAAGATAATTCATAATTTTATTGGGGGGGGGTTATATTGGTTGGGTCTGATTATTGGGGGGGGGGGGGGTCATAACCCCCCCAACCCCCCAGGAAATTACGCCCCTGCATTATTAAAATGCCTGATTTCTATGATGAACAAGCAGTTAAGCCCAGGTTTCAACTCTCAGGATGGTTTCTCTCTGATATTGATCAGACGACAGTAGAGAACTTACCAAGTCGCAGCATAGTCTCATTGATTTTGCTCGCTGCTTTCTCACTCAAGAGACCGGGGTGGTTACTTTTGATGGAAAATAATGTCATAACACCTAGAAACAGAGAAATGTTTTAATTAAGTCTTTGCAAAGATTAAAGAGTAACTTTTATGACAGTTTGTGTCTCTTTTTAGCTCTTTGAGCTCAAAACATGACAAACCAGTTCTTCGGAACTCACCGCGAATGAGGAAGTAGCCACCAACAACAAGCACCACTCCAATGGGTGCAAGCACAAAGCCAGCGCGATACCTGTAGTTCTTGTAGCCCACAAAACAGATCCCGCTCACAGAGTCTCCGTCAACCTTTAGACAACCAGGCATAGACAAAAGGAATCATAAAACTGACCAACCTCAGTTGTAAAACATTTTAAAATCTCAAAGAATGAGGAATTTTAGTGAAAAGCCTCATACACACCTCAGCGATTGCTAGGATGGCCACAGTGAGGACAAAGGGGATGGACCAGGTGACCATGTGGAAGTAAGAGGTTCTACCAGACAGTGGCTGGTGAGTAGTGCCCAGAGCTTTGAAGGATGTGTGCCAGGCATATGTCAGCATGACAAACCAAATCACACCTGACATCAGGGAGTAGTAGACGATGATGAAGATGGTGACACATGACAGCGTTTCCGAAGACCTGAAAAGAGCAAGATTAGAGAATTTCTGTGATTTTTTTTTTCTTTTCTTTTTTTT